GCGAGAGATTCACAATTCCTCGAATTCGAAAAACTGGTTCCACGACTCTTCGCGATTCAACGAACAAAGCATAGATTGATGAGTGACAAATATTTGTTACTGCCTCCCTCATCACCTGTTATAAATCAAATTGATGAAGATTAATTAGCAAAGATTGATTGTTTTCATGCACACGGAACGTCATGTACTATAAAAGTAGATATGATTAATAACTCGAATTGATATCTCGATTATCCATTTAATAGCCAAAGTTTTAATTTAATTTTAACAAAAATTTGATTTATATCCCGCGCGCATATTCTCTCACATAAAAACACTAATGGCATTAACAAATAATCATATGCATCTTAATACAGCATTTTTTGTAGTGGTAAAAAAATATTTATATTTATTATTTCTCATTTTACAAGAATAAAGATTCGTAATTATGCAAATAAAAAGGTACAGTATCAGGAATATTTGTACACGTTATGCTTTTATATCGCGATACACTTTAATCAGATTACTTGTCTGCAATTGAATAACGATTTTCCCATGAGACATTATAAATTGCCACGTTTATTTTGCGATATGCCAAACAGCTTCCTCAAGCGGGCGGACGAGATTGCATTTTAATTAGCTGTAAATGCGAACAGTGGCGTATTCATTCGCGTTGCAGCTGCGCGTAATCGCAGTGGCTGCGAATCGCTGCGACAAACCAGATTTCTTCATGATTAACTAGCAGATCGTACCGACTGGTTTTCACTGTTGACATTATCATGCTATTCGCGTCTCTTTCCACGAGAGCGTAAGTAGGTACACCATATACATCTATTATATTATCGGGACTTATCGAATGTCAAATCATCTTATCAATGACCGAGTGAATCGCCGCGATCCGAGATTCTTTCTTTTATAAGAAAATCTTGGCCTCCACAACGTCAAATAGAAAATTTTGTGTATGCTCTTTATGTATCTGCCAATTATCTTCATGAAATTAATTGATAAGACGATCACATCGCCATCTTATAGTCAATGGAATGGAATCAAGCTGTTATTTTCTTACTTATTTCCAGTCTCGTTCTCGGCGTAACACGCCGGTGCAAAAAGATAATGTTAACGATAATCTGTCGCTACAAGATTTCTTTGAGATTCAATTTTGCGTATTCATTTTACCTACTTACGTATTTTATACATAGTATGTGTGATTGCGATATTTCCGGTTATTTCATATGAAACTCTGAGAAGTTAAGTCTTGGAATAATATTTCTAATTAATCCTGTCTTGATAAATTCTTTTTGAATTGTTTTGTTTGCAAATTTGCGTATTAATAAGAATTTAAATTTCTAGTGCAAAGATTATTGCTAGATTATTGAATCTATATCATGTATGCGCGGACACAAAAATTTTTAATTCTATACAATTTTTTATTCTCTAAACTATATTTGCATTGCTCAAATTTATCCATATAGATCTTTTCTTATAAATTTCACACACACTTTAAACAAAAAATAAAAAATATTTTCAGACTAATATTCTCGCATTGCAGCGGTAAACATATTCGAATATTCGTAATAATTCGCATTTTAATATGTTCGTTATTGCGTATAAGCCAGGATTTAACTGCAAGGAAAGGGTAAAGTTCGATCTGTCGACTTACGTCAGATTGCCACAGCCCGATGATCATCGATGACGACGCGAGGTCATTCATCATCCCCGTGACACGATGCACAGAATCACGGCTTGTTACGTACGAGCGAATATATTGCGCGAACGAAGGAAACCGTTACCACCGCTTGGCACATTCAACCTACGGACTTACTCGCAAACCTCTCGGTACATAGTTTACGGTTAACTGCAATTTACGTATGACTTTGCATCCCACACGACGAAATTAACGTCCATTTAAATTTCCGACGACTAAAAATTTCGATTCGGATAAATCTCGAGTATTAACTGCAACATTGGCTAATGATAACCAAACGCGAATAAAATATAATATTAAATTTTGCTCACACAATAATTTTTGAGATATTAATTATATTGGATATTGCTTAATATAATTTGGATGTATTTATATTTTACAGATCAATGTTGCGTACTACAACTCCGCTGTTGCGCATCATATCGGTGAGTGAATCGAATTATTTTCTATTTTAATCTCGAGAAGGGATAATGGAGATTCCCAAATATTATATACAGCAACTAAACATATTTTGTGTGTAGAAAGTTGTGTGTGTGTGTGGTGTGATAATAACTGAACAGATAATCGATTAATCTAGAAAATATCCAAAGTAATAGGAAATTAAAAAATTAATTTGAACTTTAAAGCGCTCGAAGAGCATATTTTTAATGGTACTGCTTTCACAAAATTATCTCACCTTTACCTCCCCTCGGCGAGGCATTATATTATCTCGGTAAGACAAGTGCCATAAATCACTCGTTCTTCTGTGACTCGCTACGATATAAAAGAGAAACAATGACTGGTTCTGATTGGAGTCACACATACATATATTGTATATAAATATGTGTACCAAATGCTGCATAGCTGTACCTCTGCGTATAATGATGAAGTTGTGCTACTTTAAAACGACATTTAAATTTACCTCTTAGGAAAATATCTCTTATATATATAGTAAAAATAACATTAGAAAACATTAAAAAATATTAAAAACGTTTGATTATACATATAAAGACACATTATGTTCTTTATAAGAAATAAAAATCAGAAAAAGATGTACTCCCATTATATCGAATTATTATATTAAATTTAACTCTCAAATTTTTAAAAGTATATAGTAAGATATGATGATATCTTAGCAAATATTTACTATTAACATATTTACCACTTGCAACGAGAAATTATGGCGGAGAATCGTATCGTAGATGTTAGTGGGTTACAAAAAGAAAAATATTATTCCGGAAAACATTCTCCAAACACATATACACTCGGATGTGTGATTTATGTATTACATAGCGGATAGCTGTAATAAGCCGCAACGTTATTTCGCGCGTAGGTGCTCGGGAGATCAAGATCAGCGTTTCATAACGACGTACCGCAATTTCTTATGTACGCTTGCCGCTATTTCTTGGCGCGACGATATAAGTAAATAATGTATCAAAACGCGCAGATATAAACCTCACACGCACACATATTGTGCCACAAACGGGTACCGCAAACCGTTGTGAACACCCACGTGTAACAGGGCATCTCGTAATCTACTGGACGGTCGGCGTAGGCAGGATACTAGTAGCCTGCTGTGTCGCGGTTACAGGTGCAGAAATGGTCAGGTGAAATTTCATAGTTGACATTCCGGGTAAATCTGATAACGTAACGTTTCAGTAAACCGCGTCTAAACGTTTCTCGCTTAAACCGTCGTGTCGCGCGAATGCCTCGAATTACCAACGCATTATTGCGCCTCGAAACTCGTTTGCAGAAACGCGTTTCGCAAAATCTATTTGCCCGAGCGAGAGAGCAAGCAGAGATAATTGCGAAATGCGGTGTATGTTGTATTATCAATAATTGCGAAACTTCATTACGAAGGTAATTAAAAGCCCAGCTAGCAGGATAAAGGCGGTGCTGGAGGTTTCTGGATTTCAAATTTAGATAACAATGTGCCCAATAGCGAAACCGTATTTGCAGACACTTATCAACCGTCGAGCACGCATTAGATGCGCGCAGATTCTTCTCCGCGCGTACCTCCATGACTTACACAAGCTCCGAGTCTATATTTCAAAGGGTGTTAAAGTCGCGTCCGCCGATTCCATCGTGCGTTCCGCGCCTCCGATCATTACATCCGTTATAAGCTGTCACATAGCTCATCTAACATACGCGTTGCGTTCTCATCGATACGCGAGAAGAATTTTTTTTTAGTTTACAATCAGCCGTCTATGTTGGTAGAATTAACTCAAACGTGTTTGCGCTTTCGATCGGTTCGAGGCATCTAAATGAATAAACGGAATCTTCACTTCTTTGTATAATCGTATACATGTATATAGAATTTTTTTTCTTTTCTAGCAGATCAACCGGTTTTGATATATCTTTGACTAATTTCAAGTCAACCCTTACATTCATCGTACCTGATATCTTTATTGGCAAAAAAGTAAATTGTTTTGTGAATCGACCGATAATTAATCGAGAAACTAATCCGCTTTCGTTTCGCGTTCGCGAGAATAAAGGTTCGAATCGAAAGGTTAAGCGAAGATGTTCTCTCCTCGCGTACCGTTGCGTCAACGGCGAGATAAGACTTTCACTGGAGAGTCAAATGTGTGCAGGAGGGAAGAAACGAAACACGCGGTAGCTTTTACTCACGAGAGCTACTCGATCGCACTCTGAACAATTCGACCGGTTTGTAAAATTCAGTCGGCTGTAATTTAAGAACAGTCTCCTTAAAGAGATGGAGAGAGAGAGAAAGAGAGAGAGGTCTGGTAAGCCCGGTGTTTGAAAGACTCGCGGAACGAATTAACGTAATTAAGCTTAATGACAGCACGATTAATTAGGGAACATATTTTCTCTTCAGAGAGAAAGAATTCCACTTTTCTCTTTTTCTTTCTCTCGGGATTCATTTCACTATTCTCAACCGGCCCCCAATTTTTTCCTTGATGCATATTTTCTGTGGCGCGTACTTTAATCGCGCGATATCCGAGATTAAAACTATTGAAAGCGATGTGAGCAATCATCATTTACAAAGCCAAATTTTTGTTAATCAAGCATAATCTTAGACATACATTACAATACGCTTGGTATCAATCAAGTCAATTGAACACTACAAAATCATAACATCCGAGTTTAGATCTTATTTTATAAAAAAAAATTAAATTTTTAATAATCATTTACCGATCTCAATTTATAGTTAAAAAAGAATCGACATTGAAAATCGTCTGCCAAGGTTCTTGCAATATTTTATTAGCACAGTAATTTTAAGTTCTTTATCAATGGCAATTAATTCGAATCGTTGGATATTATAATTTTGTCAACACCATAATGTATGTTGTATAAATCATTTTATTAAATAACTCACCGGTAAGAGAAGTAAGGACGAGGGCGAATGTCTCGCGGCCGCCTGTCTAAGACTGAGAAAGTGCAACAGAGGGTCCTCGGTCGCTCTCAGCTCGTCCAATGTTCTTCTAGCCTCGCTATATCTTTCCAAGTATTCCCAGTAAGAGTTCCAAAATGAACCGGGAAATAAGTCACCTGTTGACAGCGTACATCGTCGTAATTAAAATTTGTCCGTATCGCGTAAAAAGCACAGAATTCCGTTATTAAATTACACGAGATTACCTTTCTTCGGTCATAAAATAATTGCACTTGTCGTATTATACCGCGAAAGGTTTTATGCTCTCCTCAGTAATTAATGGCAACGTTCTACACGCGCGCGAACACTCGATGTAGTAAATGCAAGTATTAGAAAATAAAATAGAATGTGCTGAATGCCACGTGTAATGCGATAAAATGTGACATTAAAGGAAAATTAATATGGAACTGTAATTATTAACGCACGCTTCTCTATATTTCGCGCTCCGCTCTTCGTCGACGAAGATATCTTTGTTTTTTTTTTTTTGCACTGGGAAATGATTTACCTTTATATTTAACATTTTTATCCGCGTGTTCCGTCTCTCGCGTCATGAAATACGAGCTGCACTATGTAATTCGCGAATTCAACGCGGACTGCATCGCGAATTTACGGTAGTCCATGCTTTCCTCCTGTCTTCTATGCTCGCGCTAGGAATCGACATGGTGCAATTATATTCTCAGAGCGACCGCGTGTGTAAAAAGCGTTTGAGAGGTGCGCGCGTGAATCACGAACAACAAAAAAAAAAAAAAATCTATGCGCAGTATCGTGTTTCGAGATAACGCCGTGAACGCTCGAATAACACGAATAAATTCCCCCCGTGGTGTATGTACGTACGTACAAGTCGCGATGCCGATTTACGATCGACGTCGTTGCAGTCCCGTACGATAAAAGACCGGCGATCTTATTAATGTAAATTCGAAATGGCCTGTGATAGTCATTTCACGGTAATAGCGGCATCGCGAGATGAAAAGTACAGCGGCGAGCACCAGCCAGCATCCAGGATCGGGAACGAGTTCGATTCGCAAATGCATAAAGCATGGCAAATCTCGATCGGA